CCAAGACACTGGCCCACAGGATGAGGAGGATGAGAGATTCTCTTTGAAATGCTGGACCTGGTGGGACAGTCTCTCCACAGTTGGTATATTGAAGTCTGGCCAGTCCATCGTTGATGGGGTGTAGGAGTACAACACCCATGCATTTTGGACAAACCTCCTCCACATGGCCCGTGTACACTAGATGTCATCCAGATCTTTGGAGACCTGGTTGCTCTCCAGGTCACTGGAGACGACTTTCACCTCCGTTAATTCTCTCAGATACTGGATGCCTTCCTCCAGTAATGGTCCACTTCCCTCAGTAATTTACAAGCTCATTCTTGAGGGGATATCTCACCTTCACACTCAACAGGAGCTACCTCCAGAGACCAAGAATTGTTGCCTCTCTTGCAATTTCTTTGTCAATTCAACAGTCCCTAGGTAAGGATACCAGCTGCTGGGTTTCCTTACCCTCTAATTCCTGACTGTTGGCCCCCAATATCCTTGCATCAGAGCAATCAAGCAATTTGCTTGCCTGGCTGAAGGCCATAATCTTTCCACAGATCTTGAAGTTCACTTACTCAGGGTTAGGGACCATGTGGTTTCTGCCTCTCAGGTGAAGTCTGCCACTTCCTCCTCCTGTTTCTTTGTCAAAGAACCAGCTTCCCAATCAGACCCTTCCTCCTGCACATCCAGTGTTTTTTTGACTACTGGGGTGATTACTGTAGTTGGGGTTTGGGTCCTCGTCTCAGCCACTGTGTCCTCAGATGTAGAGACCCTCCTTCCTCTGCTCCTCTGATGGTGCTGAACAGAGGCTCAATAGGCACAGGTCATGCCCCAATACAGTGCTAGGAGTTGCTGGGTCTCATTGGGGTAGGCAAGGCACCCTTCTGTCAAGTAGTGCACCAATTCAACGAGATTACATGCCTGTCCAGGTGTAAAATCCCAGGCTATCAGAGGTGATAACCACCTTAGGTATCTGCCTAAATCCTCCTACACATCCTACCACTCAGGGATCGACCACTTCAGGGCATGTCAACCTCCATTGCAGGGGATGTTGGACTAGATGACCTTTAAAGGTCCCTTACAATCCAAACTATTCTATGTTTCTCTGTGACCTCACCAATAAATTGTTTCCTCTTATGCCAGGATGAAACCAGGTCCCACATACTCAACAAAAAGCCAATGATGTTTGTTCGATAACAGAATCGAACAGCTTACATAATGATGTGCAAGAACCTCTGGAGCCCGTGCAACAGAGCCAGCTGCATCAATTCCAGAGAAAAGGGAGAAGTAACAGCTCATTCTCCCCACAAGGTAGCTCACCTAGCACAAGGATGACATCAATGCCAGCCCAAGTACATTGCTTTTATCAAAATGTTCCCAGGCACAGCGAAATAGAGAGATAAGCAGTGCAGCAAACGGCGAGAGTCAAAAGCAGCCACTAACAAGCCCTAAACTCTGTCATACAGTAGAGTGAACAAGCTCTGTGACCAGCACAGAACCATGCCAATTAATGACTACAACAGCTATAGCACACTCAGATCAAAACTGTTGTGCCCCATGTAGGATGCCAAAAAGGGTCGTGGTGCGCTGATCCCGGCCAGCAGCCAAACACCCACCCAGCCTCTTGCTCACTCCCCTCTCCCATGGGATGGGGAGAGAAATAGAAGGAAGGCGGGAAGATTTCTAGATTGAGAAAATGACAGTTAAATAGGGAAAGCAAAAGTCACATGCACAAGCAAAGCAAAAAGAGGAATTTACTCACTACTTCCCATTGGCAGGCACATGTCATGCCACATCTTGGAAAACAGGACCTCAGCACACATAATGGTTGCTTGGGAAGAAAAATGCCATAGCCACAAACCTATGGAGAGCCCATGCTGGAGCGGTCTTTCCCTGAAGGACTGAGGCCCATGGAGAGGACCCACACTGGATCAAGAGAAAAGCGTGAGGAGGAAGGAGCAGCGGAGACAAAGAACTGACCACAGCCCTATATTCCTCATCCCCCTCTGTGCTGCTCGGGGCGGGAGGAGGTAGAATAGTCAGGAATGAAAACAGTGATGTTGAGCCTGGGAAGAAGGGGGAGTAGGCGGAAGGTGGTTTAGTTTTCGTCTTTGTTTCTCACCATCCTACTCTATTTTAATTGGCAATAAAATAAATTAATTTTCCCCAAGTTGAGTTTGTTTTGGCCGTGATGGTAATTGGTAAGTGATCTCCCTGTCCTTATCTCGACTCATGAGCTTTTCTCTTATTTTGTCCCCCTATCCTGTTGAGGAAGAGGAGCGAGGGAGTCTGGCAGCCAGCCAAAGTGAACCCACCACCAAATGTAATCTCTCTTGCTCGTTATTTTCAGACGTTGGCTTAGATGGTGTCCTGGTTTCAGCTAGGGTAGAGGTAATTTCTTCTCAGAAGCTGTTAGAGTGCTGTGTTTTGGATTTGAAATGAGAATGGTGTTGATAACACATTGATGTTTTGGTTTTTTGCTAAGTGGTGTTTATCCTAAGTCAGGGATTTTTTTTCTCGTCTCATGCTCTGCCAGCCAGGAGGTTCACAAAAGAAACTGGGAGGGAGCATAGGCAGGACAGGTGACCCAAACTGACCAAAGGGATATTTCTACACCATAGAACGTCATGCCTGGTATATAAACTGGGGGGAGTTACCTGGGAGGGGGGCCGATCTGGGTTCGGGAAGGGGAGTCTGGCATCGGTCAGCGGGTGGCAAGCAATTGTATTGCGCATCACTTGTTTTTCCCTTTTTATTATCATCATTATTATTATCATTTACCATTATTATTGTATTTTACTTTATATTCAATTATTAAACTTGTTCTTATCTCAACATGCAAGTTTTACTTTGATTCTCCTCCCCATTCCACCTGGGCCGGGGGGGGAGGGGGGAAGAGAGAGGGGGTTGAACGAGCAGCTGCATGGTGCTTCATCTCCAGCTGGGCTTAAAACCACAACAGATAGATAAGGAACCGTCTGGATGGCTGCATCCAAAGAGTTATAGTCAGTGGCTCAATGTCCAAAAGAAAACCAGTAACAAGTGGTGTTCCTCAAGGGTCTGTACTGGGACTATTACTATTTAATATGTTCATCTGTGAAAAAGACAGTGGGATTGAGCTCACCTTCAGTAAGTTCACAGATGACACCAAGTTGAGTGATGCAGTTGATTCGCTAGAGGGAAGGAACACCATCCAGAGAGACCTTGACAGGCTTGAGAAATTACCCATATTGAATAATCTGATTTTGTAGGAGCACCTTGGGGGCAGTGTCAAAGCAGAACTTCTTAACTGGGCTCTGTCCAAGTTGATTCTTATAGAATCACTGAAGTGTCTCTGCGCTGGGATATCCAGTGTTGCAGATTTCAGGAGGGTTCACCAGATCAATACCTGGCTCCAAGCCTGGTGTCACAGGCAGAATTTGGGGTTTTTCAATCTTCAATTGGTTTACACAACACCAGGCCTGCTGGCAACAGACAGGGTACACCTGTCTCAAAGGGGGAAAAGGAGTTTTGCACAAGAGTTAGCAGGGCTTATTGAGAGAGCTTTAAACTAGGTTTGAAGGGGGAAAGGGACAAAACCAGGCTCGCTAGAGATAAGCCTGGGGGGCAGCATGCCGATGTTTGAGGAACAGTGTCCTAGTGAGGTCCTTTGGTCTGCCGTCTCAGTGGAGGTACGGGATGGAGATCCATGCAGCAGCAAGGACGCGAGGGTTATCGGCGCGTTAGAAACCACGGATGCACCTGAGAATGGTGCATTTACACCAATGCATGCAGCATGGGCAACAAACAGGATGAGCTGGAAGCCTTTGTTGCAGAAGGAAAACTATGACATAGTTGCCATCACAGAAACATGGTGGGATGACTTACGTGACTGGAATGCTGCAATGAATGGCTATAAACTCTTGATAAGCGATAGGCAAGGAAGGAGGAGGCAGTGGGGTATCCCTGTATGTTAGGGACTGTCTCGATTGTCTGGAGCTTAATGATGGTGCCTATCCAGTTGTGTGTTTATAGGTGAGAATCAGGGGGAAGACCAACAGGGCAGATATCCTGGAGTCTGTTATAGACCACCCAACCAGGATGAAGAGGCGGATGAATTATTCTATAAACAGCTGGGGGTAGTCTCACAATCACTAGCCCTTGTTCTCGTGGGGGACTTCAACTTATTTCCAGATGTCCGCTGGAAATACAACACAGCAGAGAGAAAGCAGTCTAGGAGGTTCCCGGAGTGTGTGCAAGATAACTTCCTGACACAGCTGGTGAGGGAACCAGCTAGGGAAGGTGCCCCGCTGGGTCTGTTGTTTGTGAACAGAGAAGGACTGGTGGGTGATGTGATGGTCGGAGGCCGTCTTGGGCATAGCAATCAAATGATAAGAGTTTTCCATTCTTGGAGAAGGAAGGAGGGGTGCCAGCAGAACTGCCACCTTGGACTTCCAGAGGGCACACTTTGACCTGTTTAGGAGACTGGTTGAGAGAGTCCTTTGGGAGGCCGTCCTGAAGGGCAAAGGAGTCCAGGAAGGCTGGACATTCTTCAATAAGGAAATCCTAAAGGCGCAGGAGCGGGCTGTCCCCACGTGCCAAAGACAAGCCGGCAGGGAAAATGACTGGCCCGGCTGAACATAAGAGCTTTGGCTGGAACTCGAGGGGAAAAAAGACAGTGTATCACCTTTGGAAGAAGGGGCAGGCAACTTGGGAGGACTACAAGGATGTCCTGAGGTTGTGCAGGGAGAAAATTAGAAGGGCCAAAGCCCAGCTAGAACTCAATCTGGCTACTGCTGTAAAAGACAATAAAAAATTGCTTCTATAAATCCATCAGCAACAAAAGGAGGGCCAAGGAAAATCTCCATCCTTTATTGGATGCGGGGGGAAACATAGTGACAAAGGATGAGGAAAAGGTACTTAATGACTTCTTGGCCTCAGTCTGTCATAGTAAGACCAGTTGTTCTTGGGGTACCCAGCCTGCTGAGCTGGAAGACAGGGACAGGAAGGAGAATGAAACCCACATAATCCAAGGGGAAATGGTCAGTGACCTGCTACGCCACTTAGACTCGCACAAGTCTATGGGGTTGGATGGGATCCACCCAAGGGTACTGAGGGAGATGGTGAAAGTGCTCACCAAGCCCCTTTCAATCATTTATCAGCAGCCCTGCCTAACTGGGAAGGTCACAGGTGACTGGAAGCTATCAACTGTGATGCCCATCTACAAGAAGGGCTGGAAGGTGGATCCGGGGAACTCCACGCCTGTCAGCCTGACCTCGGTGACAGGAAAGATTATGGAGCAGATCATCTTGAGTGCCATCACGCGGCACGTACAGGACAACCAGGTGATCAGGCCCAGCCAGCACGGGCTTAGGAAAGGCAGGTCCTGCTTGACAAACCTGATCTCCTTCTATGACAAGGTGACCCACTTAGTGGATGAGGGAAAGGCTGTGAATGTTCTCTACCTGGACTTTAGTAAAGTCTTTGACACTGTCTACCACAGCATTCTCCTGAAGAAACTGGCTGCTCATGGCTTGGACGGGTGCACTGTTCACTGGGTAAAAAACTGGCTGGATGGCCAAGCCTGAAGAGTGGTGGTGGACGGAGTTAAATTCAGTTGGTGGCTGGTCACAAATGGTGTTCCCCAGGGCTCAGTATTTGGGCCGGTTCTGTTTAATATCTTTATCAATGATCTGCGCCTCCAAAGAAGGGCAGCGAAGCTGGTGAAGGGTCTGGAGCACAAGTCTTATGAGGAGCAGCTGAGGGAGCTGGGGTTGTTTAGCTTGGAGAAAAGGAGGCTCGGAGGAGACCTTAACTCTCTCTACAACAACCTGAAAGGAGGCTGTAGCAAGGTGGGTGTTGCTCTCTTCTCCCTAGTGACAAGTGATAGGACAAGAGGAAATGGCCTCAAGTTGTGCCAGGGCAGGTTTAGATTGCATATTAGGAAAAATTTCTTCACCAAAAGGGTTGTCGAGCATTGGAACAGGCTGCCCAGGGAAGTGGTGGAGTCACCATCCCTGGAGGCATTTAAAAGACATGTAGATGTGGCACTTAGGGACATGGTTTAGTGGTGGACTTGGCAGTGTTAATGGTTGGACTTGATGATCTTAGAGGTCTTTTCCAACCTAAACGATTCTATATACGCAGGCACAATGCCAGCAACATTTTGTGTATTCTCAAATAAGTTTACTCCTGAACCAGAAATAGCTTCCTGTAGGATGATCAAGGCAATCGGAAATTTGAAGCCACAGGGAGCTTTTCTAATTTTACCCTATTTATTTCTTTGCAAACTTGCTGTGTTCTCCATTAGAACAGAGTGGAGAAGCGATCGTAAAAGTACGGACCCCTGAGGGACACCACTCGTTGCTGGTTTCCACTTGGACATTGAGACGTTGACTATAACTCTTTGTATGAGGCCATCCAGACAGTTCCTTATCCACCTAAGAGTCCATCCAAGAAACCCACCTCTCTCCAATTTAGCAACAAGGATGTTGTGGGGGACCATGTCAAAGGCCTTACAGAAGTCCAGACAGATGGCATCCGTAGCTCTTCCTTTGTCCACCGATGCAGTCACTCCATCGTAGAAGCCCACCAGATTAGTCTGTGTAGGGATAGCTTGATTTTCGGAAGAATTTGTAACAGGAACGCTAGGAACTCGGTCCTCGCTAGGAAGGCTTTCTGCCTAAATGGTAGCTATTTCTCAAAGGCAGTTTCAACGCTTTCTCTTCCCCCCTCCCCCCTCACATAGCAAGAGAAGTTCTCTGCCTCTCTCTCTGATATGTGAGAGGAGAGAGATAGCCCTAACAGACATGTACAGAGGCCTTGGGAAGGCGGGGGAGAAACAGAGAGGATAAAGAGGGTCCTGAGAGGGCGGGAACTTGCCTTTTACCCCTGGTAGCCCAGTGTGCAGCATCGTTAAGAAATGGTCATTGCATCTGTAATAAACCTTTTTTTTAATCCTTCCACTGCCTTGGCATTCTTGGGAAGAATACCTGTGTATGTTTTACCTTACAGTCTGGCACGATTTTCCCTTGGTGTAGCCATGTTGGCTGTCCCTAATCACCTCCCTGTATTCCATATGTTTCATCATAACTTCCAGGAGGATCTGTTCCATCATTTTTACCAGGCACAGAGGTGAGGCTGACTGGTCAGTGGGTCCCTCCTTTTTACCCTTTTAAAAAAATGGATGAGATGTTTCCCTTTCCTTGAGTCACTTGGGACTTTGCCTGACTGCCACGACTTTTCAAATATGATGGGGAGTGGCTTGGCAACTAGATCAGCCAATTCCCTCGGGACCCTGGGATGCCTCTCATTGCATCTCATGGACTTGTGTACATTCAGATTCCTCAGGTGGTCTCAAACCTGATCTTTTCCTACAATGGGTGGGACTTCCCCCAGTGCCTGCCTTTAGATTCAGGGACTTGAGAGATGTGGGAAGAGAGTTTTCCATTGAAAACTGAGGCAAAAAATTTGTTGAGTACCTCTTCTTTCTCTATGTCAGCTGTCACCATATCCCCTGTCCTATTTATCAGGGGGGTACAATTTCTTTTGTCTTCCTTTTCTGGCCAACATAGCTGTAGAAGCCCTTCTTGTTATTCTTCACATCCCTCGGAGAGACCTTGATTAAGAAATTGCCCTCGGTGCACTCCAAAAGTCTCCTGGACCGCTTACAGCTTGCCGAGCTGTTCTTCCAGCAGATGTCAGGGTGACTGAAGTCTCGAAGCAGGATCAGAGCCTGTGTGCATGATGCTTCCTGTAGTTGAAGTAAGAACGCTTTCTCAACAGGCCCCCCCTTGATCGAGTGGCCTGTAGTAAACACCAGCCACGAAGTTTCCTTTGTTGGCTTGGCCCCTAATTTTTACCCATAAACTCTCAACCTGTTCATTGCTATTTTTGTTACCCATGCTGCATGCAGTGGTATTGAGGCACTTCAACTAGGCTACCTACCTTGTCAGCTTTTAAGAGGAACACAACCCAACTTCTTTGAGGCATTTCACAGATGTTTCCCCGTTGATTCCTAATACATCAACAGCCCGTGGCTCTTCTCTTCCCCTGCTAAGTCTAGTTTAAAGCTCTCTGTATCAATGGCTGCCTTTAAGCATAAAGTGTCCATGTTGATTTACCAAGTCAAATTATATTCATAACAGAGTCACAGATTAAAAAGGCTTTGTTTTTGTACCACTGATTAACATTCTTCTGAATGCCTTAGTTTTTCTTTGAATCCCTCTGCTATTGTCTACATCTTTAGTTCATCAGGTATATGTACCATCAGGGGTGGTATATAAAATAACTGTGATATAGTCCTCAAGGGTTTATACTCATAATTATTTGCTTTTATTCTCTACAAGGCTGGGAAGTCTATTGTCCAAGTGTGAGCATCACAGCATAGAAAGATGCATTTGGGAGGAACGATCACAGGAGACTTACTTCTTTCTGGCTCTCATGTTTTTTGGCTTGAATAACATGGCTTCTTTGTCACCTTTGTAGCTAGTCACAAGAAGTAGCTGCAGATGGGGAAACCTCTATAGTGTCTGTCTCAACTGCATTTTCAGGAGGAGGAAGTTGCAAATCACTTTGTTTTAATTATTAAACTGTTCTTATCTCAACCCACGAGTTTTACTTTATTTTCTGTTTCCCCATTCCATGGGGGGGGGGGGGGGGGGGGTGAGCAAATGGCTGCATGGTGCTTAGTTGCCAGTTGGGGTTAAACCAGGACACATGCCTAAGGTTATATAGTGATGTTTTCCTGAGGTTTCCTTACAGAAATGCCCACTCCTTATGTTTAAAATAGGTCAACAGACTGACTTACAACAAGGTGGAGCTTTCATTTGCGTATTATATGTTTCTCTTTTAAAAAGGTATACTTTTATTATTGTGGGAGTTGAGAATAAAAATTGAAATTGGATACTGAGATTTGGGGGGGGGGAAGGAAAGGGTTTAATTTTTGTATGCTTTTTTTGTTTTCAAGGAAGCATGTGAAAACTAAGAAGAAATAGGCTCAATATGATAGATACTTTATGTATTATACTCTTACCCTTCACCCTCCACCCTCTGTCTCGGTAAATTCGTTAGCTGAGGAACTGCCTTTATTTGTACTTCAAATGATTGCTTCAGTTTAAATACCGATAAGTAATATCATTCATGTTGTTTTGTTTATAGATGCTGGTCTTTGGGTGTAGTAAGAATATCTCTGCCACTATCTTGCTGCTTGATTAAGGCTATACATTAAACCATACACATCTGCGGCAAATTAAATTGTCCTCATTTTAAAAAACTGTAAACACATAGTACAGCCCCTGAAGCAATTTGGCCATATCAATTTATCCCAGAAAAATGAGTTTTATAATTGTTCTATCTATGTATCAGTACAGATCCCGCTTACTAAATATTTTGGAAATGCACAATTCTCTTGTATGCATCATAGTGTGGTAAAACAAGTTTGTTCATGCCTCAGAGGTTGGCTGCTATGTTAACATATTATCTTTTGGGCTTGATTTTTCTGGTTTGTGTTTTTTTTTTTTGGTTGGTTGGTTTTGGGTTTTTGAAGGGACATTTAGATGGTCTTCAGAAGGTAAGATTCTTTCTTTATGTAAAAAAAAAATTAGAAGAAAAGGCTGTTTTGCAAATGAAGTAAAACTAAAAATACATCTGGGGAACATTCCTGTTAAATATTATTTCTGAAAAGTAGTTCCCTCAATTTGATTTTACAGTAACTGAAGATATTATGAGCATTTTTAGAATTTATTTGAAATTTTTCATCTTAGAGTCCTTTTCCATATGCTTTATCTTCTTCACTTGGTATGGCTCCATAGCAGTTGTATCGCAGCAATGTTTTCTTATACTTGGTGTGCAGTGTACGAAGGTGTTCCTCAAGTGGGGTTTTTTTATACTATTTTAATCCAGTTGACATTTCAAAGAAAATAACTGTTTATACACTACATTTTTTAAAAGAATGCCTGTGTAACTGAAGCAATGCATACCTCAGTGGTTTAACTTGAATCACAGGAAAACCCTTGTATTGTTGAAGTAATACATATTTAATCAGTTGAAGGCTTGAGAAAATGTCTTATGAATGAATCTCAGAATCACAGAATATGCTGAATTGGAAGGTGTTACAACCCGCCCCAGAAAAGGGTGGGGGGGTAACCCAGGTTCTTATTAATAAATCCCTTGGGGTGGATTAGAGCGAAACAACACTGGTTTATTCTAGAACAATTCTGTTTCAAAGGTAAACAGGTGTGTTAGCATTTCGGGTGTTATCATCTATATCTATCATCTATAGCAATATGGCATAAAGATAACCTTTAGGGAAAATGCATAAGGGAGAGAAAGGAAAGACACGAGGAAGTTGTAGACTGTGATGAGGTCTCCCCTCAGTCTCCTCTTCTCCAGGCTGAACAGACCAAGTGACCTCAGCCACTCCTCATATGGCTTCCCCTCAAGGCCCTTCGCACCATCTTCATTGCCCTCCTTTGGACGCTCTCTATTAGCTTAATATCTTTCCTATATTGTGGTGACCGAAATTGCACACAATATTCAAGGTGAGGCCGCCCCAGTGCAGAGTAGAGAGGGACAATCCCTTCCCTTGACCAGCTGGTGATGCTTTGCCTGATGCTCCCCAGGACACGGTTGGCCCTCCTGGCTGCCAGGGCACAGTGATGACTCATGTTCAACTTGTCACAGACCGGGACCCCCAGGTCCCTTTCCACGGCACTGCTTTCCAGCATCTCATTCCCCAGTCTGTACGTACATCTGAGGTTGCATGCTCGACAATAGAGTAGTTTCATAACTGATTACCAGCACTATTGTGAGCACAGAAAGGAGAGGAGTCACGAGAGACTTCTTTTTCTTTCAGCTGAAAGATTTATGGAAGCACCAGTCTCAACTGGTTATGACAGCAGCCTCGTTAGGAAGGGGGAAGGAGATGGGCTCTCCAAGTCTTTCTCAAATGCTGAAGGATTCAGCGGCAGTGCAGGTCAAAAAGAGTCTGAGTTAAGTAGTAATTCCAATTTGGAAGTTCAGGGGAGTCTTAAAATCGGGTTGTGGGCTAGTTTTTAAGTATACGTGCTTATTTTAGTCATAAGGAACAATTCCATGAAGCAAGACAAAGTTCAGCGGAAAGAGAAATTAAACTACTTTGCAGATTAAAAAATAATAAATCGGCCTCAACTTTTAAAAATATGTTTTATACAAATTGTGTTCATAACAGATCTTATTAACAGTAGAGGAATAAAATACTTAAAGCATAACACTTGAATGACTGAACGTTGCTCTAATTCACACAAGCCCAAACCAGTTGAAATCAGCAGTGTAGAATTTTCACTGATGGTTAAGTAGTTTAGTCAGCTTTCTTTTCTGTTCTTAACCAGGATTATAGAAAATAAATATTCATTATCAAATTTTCCTCTTAGATAAACGAATTGGTGGATGCCCGTGATGTCAGCATTGGAGCCTGGTTTGAAGCCCATATAGAATATGTTACTCGAGCAACAAAAGGACATAAGAATGGTAAAGCTCAAGTAAAGAGTGGCGATTCTTACAAAAGGACTAATGGAAACATAAGTCAAGATCATTCTAGCGAGAATGCAAATTATTTGGACAGTAGACCGTCCACATCTTACTCAGACTGCATGAACACTGATGAAGAAGCTGTCTATCATATCAAGTATGATGAGTAAGTGCTTCCGATATTATTTTGAGGACATCATAATTTATGATTTGGTGTGTATAAACAAAGAATTTTGTTGGAGAAACTTGGAATCAAAGAGAGCAAGTTCAATATTGCAACCAAGAAAAGAAATATCAAAAAGCCATAATGTCTTTCAGTCAGATATAATGACTATCCTGAGAGTAATGAGGTTTTTTTACTTTTATTCAAAAATTCCTGTGAAGTATTAACTTCATCTTGACTTTATGAAACTCAGAATCCCTATCACTAAGGAAAGGAAACTATGCATTGGATTTTTCTGTACTCATTTTTCTATGTAAAATATAAGTTAATATTTTCTTTAAAAACTACTTTGCTCGTATTCAGTTCCTTCCATTGAAGTCTAAACAAGTGTTTCATGGGAGCAAATTCCGGTGCTTGAATTGCTTAAATTTTGTTTTAAAAGTAATATTTATGCATGAGATGACTGGTCTGCATTTCATGTAGCGGTTTCTTGTAGAGAATCTGGTGACTGGGAACACAAAACCCCTTCTGAGCTGGAGTGAGGGTACAAAGGGATTTTTTATTTTTATTTTTTAAATCTGTGGTACAAGCAAATTTCAGAACCTATGACAGATGTGCTAGAGTAGAGGCTTTATGCCATAAACTCAGTGGGATTTGCAGGGATTTCTCATCACCAGCTTTCGCACTGATGCATTCACATAAATTGGATCCTAGTTTATTAATCATGCCTTAATTTGCTGAAGCAGCTTACTAAGCTTCTAAACCAATGGCATCAATGAGAATTTTTTATTACAGAGAACAACAACAACAACAAAAAAAATCACGCTTTGGCATGCGAGATTAAAGGAACATATGTTTACTTTACACAGAAGCATATTCAGCATTAGCCTTGTTGAGAATAAATTCAGTTCAAGATTTCAAAATATCTTTTTAAGTATCGATTTCAACTTTCATTGTTTTAATAATTACAATTTAAACCAGTTTTGCTAGGGGAAAAAAGCAAGAATGTTGAAGACTCAAGCTGAACGTCTTTTAGCTGGTCTTGGCAATACTAGATACAACTTTTCTTTATATACATACCTTGGAAGATAATATAACTTTTGTCTGAACATGGAGTTCAAATGCAATTTAATATCTGCAAGCATCAACTTTTTATCTGCAGATATGTTTGTCCATGCACACAAAATGGATACCTACAATGTTGAAAGCAAAAATTTACTTTAAAAATTATTGTAATACTTAAATTCAGAAGTTTCTCACAACTTCAGTCACCCAGTCTCATTACAGTTGGACTAGATGATCCTTGCAGGTCCCTTTCAACTGAACTATTTTAAAATAAATAAGTAAGTAAATTAATTCATTGTCTCTAAAATGATAGATATGCATCATGGTATGCTTTCAAAGACCTGATTCTAAGATTGGTTAATTGTGTAACATCACAGAAGTATTTAATTGAACAAAGGGCAAAATATTGAGACTGTGTTTGTAATCATTGGAGTTAAATTATGTTTCTCTTTTGTAGACAGAGATTTGAGGGAGAAGCCACCTGTGAAGCAGAAAGTATAGTCAAGCTGATCTGATTTGCATAGGTGTACCTATGCTTACAAAACATTGATTTTACTTCATGTGTACCTTAAGATCTCATCAATCCTAAACATCCACTGGTCAGATTATGTAACTAACACGTCTGTTCTAGAACAAGCAGCAATCACAAGTATCGAGGCCATGTTGCTGAGAACACAGCTGCGCTGGGCAGGACACGTCTCAAGGATTGTACGGAGACAGCGTTGATGGGATGAAGGACCACCGCCTCCCTAAGATCTTGCTTTATGGTGAACTTGCCACTGGCTGCCGCAAGAGAGGAGCCCCAAAGAGAAGATACAAGGACTCTCTGAAACAACATCTCAGCCTTGGCCATATTGATCAACATAACTGGTCTACTCTGGCCTCCAATCGGGAGGTCTGGAGACACACAATCTATAACGCTGCTGATGTTTTTGAGAAAGCACGCAGGATCACTCTCGAGGAGAAAAGACAACGCAGAAAGATTCGTGCCTTGCAGAATATTCCACCTAAGGAGTCCTTCTGCTGTGCCTTTTGCAACCGGACGTGCCTGTCTCGTATTGGCCTTTTTAGCCACCAGCGCGCTTGTAACAAACGTGGGTAGAGCCCTCCTCAAATCTTCGTTCGCGAAGCCTAGCCATGATGACCTTAAGATCTAGCATTTCCAGTAGGTGCAGTCATCTTAGTCTTCCTATAACACAATCTGTCACAGGTTTGTGTTCTTAGCCAGTGACCATACTAAAACAATATGTCTTCTCTAATTTTGCTTACGCCATGGTCATTTACTGCATTGGCCTAAAATGTTAATAGTTTGAGCTTACGGGGAGAAAAGTTATTTTAAAACTTTCTAGCAAGCAAGATCTATGCATTTATCAGCTAATAGAAACTTCAGTAAAAGTTAACTGCCTACATATGACAAAACACAAGACATCATTTGTGACACTTTGTATTTACCTTTCAACATCATCTAACAAGCAACCCGCAGATGGAGACCATAAGCCTGGTGCCCATAAAGCCATCAAAATGTCTTTCTTACATTATGGAGAAGACTATGGGGTTTGCCTCTGACACAGATTGACAGCTGCTCAGATCCTCAATGAGATCATCTCAGTATCTAGACTGGTTCTCCTTCACTGCTTGTTTTATTATCCAGTCTAGAAAAACTGTTCACCAAGAAGGCTACAGCTGAAGGACAAGTCTGTTGTAATGTTTTCAGATGGGATTGGGAACATGGATTAGACCTACTCTCTGCTTCTGAGACTTCATGTTATGGCAAAGATCGTTTGATACTCAGCTGTTGTGGCAAGTCCAGCCTGACAATGCATACACACAAAAAGGGTGGGTGGGTGTGGAGGGGTGTGTGTAGGTGAGGGAGCTGTGACAAACATTCATTTTCTTTTAGTTTTCTTTCTGTTTACATCTGGAACTGACTAGTCAGTGTTGTTTATTCAGAGGATGCTGGAAAGCTATTCACCCTTGATCTCAACGTGAAGCCCTCCGCTGTCATAGATCTAGTTCTTTGGACCAAGCTTCCTAGTACAGCTCTATTTCTCCTAGCTGTCTTCAAACCCAAAAGATCCCACAGGTCTCGACTTAAATGATCTAGAGCTGTTTCTTTCTTTCCTTTTTCTTTTTCTGCCCCCCCTTCCCCACCAGTATTTTCCACTGGTCAATTCAAGAGCAAGTTGAATGTTGTCTGACAGAGTATATCTCGCACCTTAATCAGCTTTACTTATACCGGAGCATGGTTGTGTTTGCTTGGGGGTGGGGGGGAGAAGATCATGCTAAGAGGTCCTACCAACCTCCTTGTAGGTATTGAAAGGCTGCTATTAGCTGCCATCACCACCCCCACCACCCCCGTCAAGCTTTTATTTCGCCTGACTGAACAAGCCTAGTCCCCCAGCCTCTCCTCATAGAGCACGTCTTGATGGCCATCTTGCCAGCCCTCCGCTGGGCTAACACCAGCTTGTCAGCATCTTCCTTGCATTGAGGGACCTAAACCAGACATAATATTCTAGAGATGATCTAACAAGCGCTGAGTAAAGGGAAATAATCACTTCCCTCAATCTACTGCCTATGCTCCTGATGACGCAACCCAGAATGCTGTTGGCCTTCTTTGCTGCCAGGGCACACTGCTGGCTCATGTTCAGCTTGCTGTCAACCAGGACCCCCAGGTCCTTTTCTGCAGAGCTGCTACCCAGCCAGTCACTCTGCAGCCTGTATTGTCACAGCAGGGGTATAGTGGGTTGACCCTGGCCAGTAGCCAAGTACCCACACAGCCGCTCGCTCGCTCCTGTGTCCTGCAGGACAGGGAGAAAGTAGAAGGAAGGCAAGAAAATTTGTGCATCGAGATACAGTTTAAAAGGTGAAGCAAAAGCTGCGTGCGCAAGCCAAGCAAAAAGAGGAATTCATTCACTAATTCCCACCAGCAAGCAGATATCCAGCCACTTCTTAGAAAGCAGGGCCTCAGCTTGGGAAGACAAATGTCATAACCACAAAAGCCCACCCACCCCCCGCCTTCCTCCTCTTTCCCTGAGCTTTTATTTCTGAGCACAATGTCACATGGCATAGAATATCCCTTTGGTCAGTTCAGGTCAGCTGTCCCAGGAGTGTCTCCTCCCAACTGCTTGCACACACCCAGCCTACTTGCTGTGAGGGCAGAGTGAGAAACAGAAGGCCTTGATGCTGCACAATTACTGCATGTAACTTCTGTTGTCTCATGAGGATCACAACAGGATTTTAAAAGAAAGTCAATAAATGAAAAAACCCCTTTACTAACCATAGTTGTATCTAGCAATATTTTTAATTCCATTTTTACTGACATGGATTCTTTAGCAAAAGTGAGAAAACTAAAAAATTTTACAGTATTTTCTTAGTTCTTGAGCCTTTCTAAGATTATGGTTTTCTCTCATGTATTAGCTTGATTTACATAACCCTGCATAGTCCCATTTTCTGATACCTTAGTTACATACTCATCTTGTATATTTGAGAGTGTAGGTTTTAATTTAACATTGTGGTCATTCATATAAATAACATGTTTAAATATAGGATGAAATTTTATGTAAAAACATATCTGCTGCAGTACTCAGTGAGATTCAGCTTATGGATATAGCTTATTGCTATATAACCCCACTAGTGACAGGGCGCCAGCCTGATGTTACCTCATTCACTTATTACCCTCTGTGCTAAACCCATGAGCCAATTGTTTACCCCCTGCATGATGTGTTTTTCCAGTTGTGTGCTGGACATTTTGTCCAGAAGGATCCTGTGAGAGACAGTATCGAAAATTTTTTGAAATCCAGAAAGATTACATAAACTGGCTTCCCTTGATCAACTAGGTGGGTTACCTTGTCATAAAAGGAAATCAGGTTTGATAAGCAGGACTTTCTTCTCATGAAGTCGTTCTGGCTGTGACCAATGACTGCGTTGTCTTTCAGGTG